TTCCTCTCCTGACCACGGGCGGCTTGTCGGGACCGCAATGCGCAGCATTATGCGCTCATCTCTACATGTATCTATCCTTCTATGCACCACCAACTTCGCCGACGGATGGCGAAGCTGCGGTGGGGGACATCCTTGCGTATGTTACCAAGGTGGCCCACGAGTTTTGCAAGCAGCGGTACGATGACAACAATGCACCACTCCTCTATGTCCGCATCCGAGTTGGGCAAGCGTCCTGCAGCGCTTTGCTGGATAGCGGCGTCACTCGCAATTTCATGAGCCAAGCCTTTATGCAAAGGGCTGGCCTTGGCGCACATTCGGAGGAAGGCAAACCCGACGGCGACCAAGTTGGCGGACGGAAAGACGCAACAACTTATCGACCGTTACATCGAGGCCGTACCAGTGTATTTCGCACCTCATGCATGCGAATCGCTGACATTCGACATTTTGGACATGGACTTCGATATCATTTCGAGAATGCCTTGGCTTGCAAGTGTGGATCACACGGTCAACTTCCACCGGTGGACTCTTACCGTTCAGGACGCCTTCGGCGCCGAAGTGCCGTGTACTATTCTTCTTCCTCTCCCTTCAACCCGGTGCCAAGTGGTGACGGCCAAGTCGTTCCGTGCTACTTGCGCTTACAAGCAGCTCGACGAGATAGGCCTATGTTTCCTACGGACCGTCGCAGTAGCCGATTCTTCCCCCACAGACTTGTCTTCAGACCCCCGTGTGGTGCGGTTGTTTGACGAGTTCACCGACATCTTCGAGTCACCTACCGGTGCGATGCCGGATCGGCCGATCTCTCACAAGATCATTCTTGAGGCCGGTGTCGTGCCTCCGAAAGGCTGCATTTATCGCATGAGCGAGGAGGAGCTTACGGTCCTCCGCGCACAACTCAATGACTTGTTGGACAAACGCTGGATCCGCCCTAGTAGCTCCCCATATGGAGCACCGGTTCTCTTCGTACGAAAAAGAACAAGGATCTACGATTGTGCATCGACTATCGCAAGCTCAACGCGCAAACCGTCAAGAATGTGGGGCCTCTTCCTCGTATTGACGATCTCCTTGAGCGATTGAGTGGCGCGAAGTACTTTTCTAAGTTGGATTTGAAGTCGGGACATCATCAGATTTCGATCTGGCCGAACGATTGCTATAAATCCATGTTCAAGACACAATATGGGCATTTTGAGTAGGTGGTCATGCCTTTTGGCCTCACCAATGCCTCAACGACCTTTCAAGCGCCAATGACCAACGAATTCTGTGCGATGTTGTACCGGTTCGAGCTGGTCTACTTAGACGACATTCTCGTCTATAGCTGGACATTAGAGGACCATCTGGAGCACCTTCGACGAGTGTGGGAGACGCTCTGCCGCGCCAAGTACAAAGCCAACCACGACAAGTGCGAATTTGTCCGACAAGGGCTGGAATACTTGGGCCACTTTGTCAGACCGGAGGGCATCAGTCCATTGTCAGACAAGATTCAAGCCATCCAAGAGTGTCCGGAGCCGCGGAACGTCACGGATGTCCGTTTGTTCCTTGGCCTTGCCGACTACTACCAACGTTTTATCAAGGATGCTTGAAGATCGCGGCGCACTTGACCAAGCTTCAATGCGAGGATTGGTCGTTCGACTTCGTGGAGGATGCGCGGGAATCATTCTTGGCTTTCAAAGCCGCATTATTGTCCGCGGAGGTCTTGCGAATCTACGACCCGCTATTGCCAACACACGTCACTACGGATGCGTCCGGCTATGGCATTGGTGCCGTCCTCGAACAACACGATGGCGTGGACTGGCACCCGGTCGAGTACTTCAGCAAGAAAGTGCCCATCGTGCACTCCATTGATGACGCACGCAAGGAGGAGCTCCTAGCCTTCGTCCACGCACTCAAGCGGTGGTGGCACTTCCCCCTTGGTCGAAGTCAATTCCGATGGGTAACGGATAACAATCCGTTGGTCTTCTACAAGACCCAAGACACCGTCAATAGCACCATCGCCCGTTGGATGGCTTTCATTCACCAATTCGACTTCTTTCCTGATCACATTCCGGGGAAGTCTAATCGTTTTGCGGATGCTCTTTCACGGTGTCCGGATCATTGTACCGCAGCCTATTCGACCTTCGAGATTGGCTGCGGGACAGTTTCATCCACGGCTACCAAGCCGACCCCGAGTTTTGCGACAAGTACGCGAGTTGCTCCTCTCCTAATCCGGCGCCTTCTCACTTACCGGATCCAAGAGGGGTACTTGCTTGTCCACATGCGGGGGAAGGACCTTCTTTGTGTATCGAGTGACTCTCACTTGCGTACACGGCTTCTTGGCGAGTTCCACGATGCTCCCGCCACCGGACACTTTGAAGTCAATCGAACGATTGGCTGACTTCCTGAGCGCTTTTGGTAGCCCGGCCTTCTCAGCGACGTCACACACTATTGTGAGTCATGCGAGGTTCGCTGCAAATCCCACAACCATTGTCCGTACGGCGAGTTGCGACCATTACTGGTCCCCTTGCGCCGGAGGGAAGCGATTGCCATGGACATTACCGGGCCGTTCCCCAAGCACAATACCCGTGTGGATGGGATTCTCACGGTGGTCGACCGACTTACCAAGTTTGCCATGTTTTTGCCTTGCCGCTATCATGCCAAGGCACCGGAGTTGGCCGAAGTTCTTTACACCGGTTGGATTCGAACCAAGGGTTACCCCAAGGAAATTGTCTGCGAACGCGACACTCGGTGCATGTTCGATTTTTGGTTGGCGTTCATTAAACGATGGGGCTCATCTCTCAAGCCAAGTTCGGCTTGCCACCCCCAAACCGATGGCCAAACGGAGAGGGTGCATCAGACCGCACAGTTCTCCTTCGCACTCTCATCCGTCCCGACCAAAAGGATTGGCTTGAGCGGCTGTCGGACGTCGAGTTGGCATACAACTCGTCCATCCACCCAGCTATCGGGATGTCGCCCTTCGAGTTCGAGCACGGCTCGCCGGTCACTTCTCCGCTAGACACAATCATTCCACGAGCGGCCGAGAGCGACGACCATCTTTTTTTCTTGCGTCGGATGCAAGAGCTACTTGTCAAGGCACGCGACCAGATGGCTAAGACGCAGCAACGCATGAGCCAACAGGCCAAATCGCCAGCGTCTTCCTTGTCCATTCCGCGCCGACGATCTCGTTTGGGTTTCCGCCGCGGAGTTCAGCCTTAAACAAGATATCTCTCACAAGCTCGTCCCAAAATGGATGGGGCCCTGGCTGATCGTGGCACCCACTGGGGATGCACCCAAAGGACATTTCTTCATCATTCAGGTGCCCGCCCACTTGCCCGTCTACCTAGTCTTTCATTTCTCCAAGTTGCCTCTTTACACGCCAACGGAACATGACGACTTTCCTGGGTGACGATCGCAAGACCCACCCTCTATGGATGGTTTTCAAGAGGTCGGCGACATCATCTCCCAGCGATGCTTACGACAACAGGCCGACCGAAGACTTGGTACAATTAGTGTACTGCACCCACAAAGCTGATCGTTGGTTGACCAGTGCGGAACTCCAAGCAACAGCTCCGGATGTTCTCGCACACTATGAACGCAAGATGCAAGGCAAGCCGGTATCTTCGGCTCCACGCCGCACCCGCGTCAAGGTTCCACCTTCAGATCGTCGGCTTCACCCTTGACCCGACTCGACTTCATAAGGAGGGGGGGGGTGTTACATATTGCGCCTGCAAACGAGGGCCATTTTCAGGCCCTGTGTCGTTCGGCGTGGAAGCTTGAAAACAAGGGCCTACAGGCCCTGTGTCGTTTCAGCCTGAAAGCCTGAAAACAAGGGCCTACAGGCCTTGTGTTGTTTCAGCCAAAAAAGGGCCGTCCAGGCCCCGAGTCTTTTCAGCCTGAAATGGAGGGCCAGTTTCAGGCCCTCATAAGATCGACCTGCCCTGAAACTTAGGCACCAGACTAGGGTCTTAGCACAGGCTATTTCGGGCCTGTTTTCAAGACATCCCTTGTTTGAACTTCAACGCCAAGGTCTGGCACGTTTTGGCCTTGGCAAGAACAGCCTCCTGGACGGGCCAGCACTATATAAGACTGGCGCGCCTTGCAGGCTGCAGGTAGTTCATAGGGACTTCCCAGGGACTTCACGTGCAGGAGGCAGGAGGCAGTCTTCAGGATTCGACTGCAGCACTCTCGAGGAGCGCTGCAGTAGTAATAGTGTCAGGAGTAGTCTTCAGCGTTGGGCGCTAGTAGGAGCTAGAGTAGCGTTGGAGAGAGAGAGAGATGGTTGGCGGAGGCCAGGGAGACTTACCTGTGGCACTATAGCTCCAGCTTCGTCTTCGATGTACCTGCAACAAGGCGCCACCTTCACAGGTTAGTACCGGACTGAGAGAGAGAGAGAGAGAGAGAGAGAGAGAGAGAGAGAGAGAGAGAGAGAGAGAGAGAGAGAGTTCTTCTTCTTCCTCTTCTAAGTCCACTATCTCTCCCTCACCCTCTCGCTACCTGACTCAGTATCTGCAGACTACGAGAGGGAGAGAGATTGGTGACTTTGGGACTCGACGACATTTGGATTCAGACTCGACATTGGGATTGAGACATTGAACGAGGGACTATTTGGGACCTGTACCGAAGACATGGTGTTGACGACATTCCCATCTTCCCCCTCGTCTTCGTCTGATCCCCTCCCCTTTGTCTGTGTATGGTCCGGACCTGGCACATTCTTCCTGTGTGTAGCGCCAGGCCCTTCACATCTTGCAACAATGATGATGTATGTTCGATCTGCATTGCGACATTGACTGGGTTGATCATTGGTATCCTAGCATTCGGCTGCGCTGTCTGTACTATGTGAAGGAGGTAGGTCCTTGTTCTAGTTTGCACCATTATGATATGCAACACTTTGGTATCTCCTCCTCCTCTCACATGGGTGATGTAATGGGATGCCGTGTCAGTCTTGGTCAAGTCAGGACTTATATCCGAGTCTTCCACTACGCTACAAAGTGCCATTTGTATGTATCAGGATGAACACTGCTTGTTGAGATTCCATTCAGTCCTTTTTATCACAATTGCGGATCCTTGGCTGTACATACATTGCCCAACTGGGCATGTATAATCTGCTTCTGCTGCTTCTGCTTCTGCTGCTTCTGCTGCTTCTGCTTCCGCTTCTGCTTCTCCTACTTCTGCTGCTCTTCCTCCTCCTCTCCTCCTCCTTTGCTTCTGCTTCTTCTGCTTCTGCTCCTCTCCTCCAGCTCCTCCTCCTCCTCTCCTTCGTCCTTCCTCTTTTCCTCCTCTTCTCCTTCGTCCTTCCTCTTCTCCTCCTCTTCTCCTTCGTCCTTCCTCTTCTCCTCCTCCTCCGTCCTTCCTCTCCTCCGTCCTTCCTCTCCTCTGTCCTTCCTCTCCTTCTCCTCCTCCTCCTGTCCTGCGTCCGTCCTCTTCTCCTCCTCTCCTCCGTCCTTCATCTTCTCCTCCTCTTCCCCTTCGTCCTTCCTCTTCTCCTCCTCGTCCTCTCCTTCGTCCCCTCCTCCTCCTCCTCCTCGTCCTCCTCCACTCCTTCGTCCTTCCTCTTCTCCTCCTCCTCCTCTCCTTCGTCCTTCCTCTTCTCCTCCGTCCTTCCTCTTCTCCTTCGTCCTTCTTCTC